TAAAAATCAAAACTAAAATGTTGGATATATATATATATTTATATATATATTTATATATATATGTATGTATATTATTATTATTATTCTTCAAACCCAAAAATCACAATCAACTTTATCCACATGGGTTGTTGTAAGGCATTTCCACTTGCCATCAAAATTTCTTGTCCACTCTATTTGACCCTACAACACCAAATAATTTAAGCCCTCAATTCAATCCCCAAGTAAAAAAGTAGGCTAAATAAATCCTACCCAACAAGGCCACTTCCCCTCCCCCCCTTGCATTGCAATTTACCTCCAAGTTCTTGGAAATAAAGCAGGGAACTTTGGAATATAATGTTTCTGGTCTAAAACATACGTAGTGATAGTGGGAGGAAGAAACAAGCGATCAAGAACAACAAGAGGAATCATAGGGAGAGATGGGAGGGGTAACATCATCAATGGCAGCAAAGTTTGCTTTTTTTCCGCCAAACCCACCATCATACAAGCTAGTAACTGATGAATTAACAGGTCTATTGCTACTGAGCCCATTTCCTCATCGTGAAAATGTTGAAATCTTGAAATTGCCAACAAGGAAAGGTACAGATATTGTGGCAATGTATATAAGGCATCCTTTGGCTACTTCCACCTTGCTTTATTCTCATGGAAATGCTGCCGATCTGGGTCAGATGTATGAGCTTTTCATTGAGTTGAGCATCCTCTTGAGGGTCAATCTCATGGGGTACTACTACTTATAATATCTCGATTTTCCCGTCTTCACCTTCTTGTTTTTTTAGCTTGGTTAATGTTCTTTTAACTTCTTCTTTTTTCCATCTGCTCTGATTCTTGTTACTTGTTGTTGTTCACAAGAGAATTTTGTAATCTTTCTATGATCATCAATTTAGATTCTTGCCATTTTTTTAAGTATTGGTGCTATCAAGATGGGATTCTTTCCGTCTTTGCTCCCAAATCTTAGATTTAAAGCATGCGGATTGCCTCCATAGCTTGATCAAGGGAATCCTACTGAATTGAAATACCTCTATCTCTATGACTGTTGCTCAAATAAATCCACTGCAAAGAACCAAGGATCATGTTAGGCTTTGTCTATTATATATAAGGATTGATCCTGGTTTTTTGGTTACCAAGGAGAGGTTTGGACTCGAGACCTCTTGGGGGGAGGGGAGGACACCATTGCCAGTTGAGCTACAGTTCATTGGCTTTGGCTTGGTTTTTCCTGGTCGATTAGCAGATTGTGCTTGCATCTCAAGCTAGCAGACATGCCCTTTCCCAAATACTATTTGCTGTCATTGCTTAGATGAATTGGACTTATTTTTTATTCTGTCTCAAGACATGTTATTAATCTGTGTTGTTGAGATACAACTCCGAGATATGATTTGTGATTTTGCATCTCTCATTGGAATCTTGTTCATTGTTCTCATTCCATCTTTAACTCTCTCAGGTATGACTATTCTGGGTATGGGCAATCGTCGGGAAAGGTTTGATGAACAGTTTAACTTCTTAATAATTAATTGAAAAAAAAAAAAAACTTCTTTTATGAGTTTATTGGTGCTTGTGGAAGGAACTGAAATGGCCATCTGAAGACCATTTCCTGTGTTGCAGCCGAGTGAGCAGAATACATATGCTGATATTGAAGCTGCATACAAGTGTCTAGAAGAAAGCTATGGTACCAAGCAGGAAGACATAATCCTTTATGGGCAATCTGTTGGAAGTGGCCCCACGTTAGATCTTGCTGCTCGACTTCCTCAGTTACGGGCTGTTGTTCTGCATAGTCCCATACTCTCAGGGTTAAGAGTCATGTATCCTGTTAAGCGTACATACTGGTTTGACATTTATAAGGTAACATGCGTTTATCAATACTCTTGTCCTAGCCAATCACTGAAGTGGTGATTTTATAATCTCTTTAACATAATGAGTTTGTTCTTTGTTCTTTTCTTTTTTGCAGAATATTGACAAAATCCCACTAGTAAATTGTCCAGTTCTCATCATGCATGTAAGTATACTATTGCAATACATGTTGAAGTGTATATAAAGCTTTCTTTTGTTCTTTTATAATTGCATATTTTGGGAAAAGCATAGCAAAATTTGTATAGATGTTCGTGCACTTTATGATTGGTGTTGGAATTGTTCGATGTGCTTCCTCCTTTATGTGCTTTTGTCATCTCATTTACAGTTTTTCCTTCTTTTGAAGAATTTAAAATGCTCTCTGTATAGTTAGAAGATCTCCAAATTTTTAGTTGTTCAAGTAACGAGGAATTTTCATTTAACCTAGAGTACACATAAGTTGTTGGCACTCGTAATGCATCTAGGTCTGTTTGTCAACTCTCAAGCTTCTTCATGTTTCATTGCAGGAACTTTTTTATGTGTTAATCTATGTATCTATGCATGTTTCTTTGTGTTCCTCTAACCAAGTATTACAGACTTAATTGTTCTCCATGAGATATCTCAACACTCTACTTCTTGTAGACTGCCTTTAGTTCACTTGGTTTTTTCCTCCTTTTTTAGATTTTTCTAGAGAGGCGTATTGTGATAGTCCCTGCAGAAGTGACAGGGATTATCTTCTGGTATTTCATGGATGATTGACGATAGGGGTTTGTGATTTATTCTTATTTGGCAGTACAAGTCTTTTCAAGTAAATCTGACACATATGGCTCTGTACTGGTCTTATGGTCCACGCAGGTGTCTCAAATTCAAACAAGAACATAGCTGTCATGTATGTGACTTGTTAACTTACGAATTGTAAAGATTGGAGACCCAGACAAAGTAATTAATCATAGTCTTTGAAAAATCTTAGCTGAACTATTACAATAAAGGCCCCCCAATTTTATTTTATTTTCGATAAATGGAAGGAAGAAGAACAATGGGATAATTTCTTTTATATTTTTCTTTAATCATGTATCTAACCTTCACAGGGATTGAAATTTCATTTGACAACTGTGGGAGTAGGTTTCCCAGTAAAAAAGTAAAGGTAAAGCATTTTTTTTAAACATGATGGAGGTTAGAGCAGCCCTGTAGTTGGAAGAGGTAAGGTACATGGACCCCATGGATGGCCTAATCAGGGTTCCTGAGCCTTTTGTTTTGTGCTCATAGGAATGGTGCTGTGTGCTGACTTCTGACATCACCGAGTTCTTTTATTTGTCCTTGAGGTTCTGACATATACAGCTGAAGCAATTTTGTCTTGTGTAATAATTAAATTTGAAATATTCGTTGTGCATTGGATGATTTACTATTGCGTTGTGCAATGGAGAAAACAGTCAAAATTTCCCTTCAACAAAAACTAGAAAAAGAAAACTAAAAAAACTGCTTTTCATGCTCCATGACTCTCTGTCTACTAAAAAGTGAAGTGTTTCAGAGAGTGTTCATTTCGTCCCCTGCCCCCTCTTTTTTTTTTTTTTCCCTGTTTGGAATAATCAATGTATAATGTCGTTGAATAAGTGTTGATCCTTTCATTTTTTTTTTCTTCTTTCAAGTTCTCAATATCTAGATGCTAGGAGGTTTTAATGAGGGTTCATTCATTTATTTTTAAATGCATGCAATCCCACCAATTGAATGCAAGATGCCCTTGAAAAGTTAATCGACTTGGATCTATTATTCGTAATTGCCTTAATATTTTGATGTCTTTTATTTTATTTGTAGGGAACTTCAGATGAAGTTGTCGATTGCTCCCATGGGAAGCAATTATGGGAACTCTGTAAAGAAAAGTACGAACCACTTTGGCTTAAAGGAGGGAACCATTGTGATTTAGAGCACTATCCGGAGTATATCAGGCATCTGAAGAAGTTCATATCAACTGTGGAGAAATCTCCTTCTCAAAGATACAGTTCCAGGAGAAGTACAGATCAGTTTGAGCAGTCACGGAAGAGTACTGATGTCTTTGAGGTTTCAAGGAAAAGCACAGATCGAAGAGAGAAACCAAGGCACAGTACTGACAGGCTCGAGAAACCAAAAATTCAATCTAATCATGTTGACAAGCTAGAAAAACTAAAAAATCTGTCAAATAATGCTGATAAGCTAGAAAAGTTAAGGATGTCATTTGATCAAATGGAAAGGTCTCGGAGGAGTGTTGATTGCCATGAGAAATCCCGGAAAAGCATCGACCACCAATTGGAAAGAGCACGAAAAAGTGTTGACAGGTTGGAAAGAATACGGACTGGTTGATTCTCAAAACCAACTGTAAAATTTACGCATGGGTTTGGTGTTGTGGGCAATTCATTTGGTTTTTCTTTGCTAATTTATATGGTTTTATGGCTGTGTTGCATTGTCTCTATAATAACAATGGCATGAAATGAGAAAGGGTTTGTTGTTATAATGATTTACTACACATGGCTATAGCAATGTCTTTAATATTTCATTTCCAAATTTCGTAATACAAATATGATTTTCCATTTTTATGCCATCTGACGAGAAAAAAAAAAGAAGATTGTCCGGTGTTATGCTCAATTCTAAATGTTACATCAAGTGGATAACTCAGATGTTGCCATTCATGGTTTTGCATCAGGAGTCAAATCATGGATTGGTTCTGGGCAAGTACAACAGCAGTTTTCGCCAGCAGACCCATCTGTAGAAAACTTGCACTTGGAAAGAGATTTTTCATGTGGTTGGCTCGTTAACAAGCTATCAGTCTAGTAAGGCGGGAGCAGGATTAGAACGCAGATCTTGGGTGACATGAATCTCCGTTTCTTCCACCGGAGTTGCAGAATTCTATAGAATTCCCTGCAAAGAAGATAATCTCAGCGGCCGGGAGGGCCATCGTGCCAGAAGTTACTGAACTCTAAAGGACTGCATGTATTGGACATGGAGCCTTCCATGTGACTGGACAGAAGTGCCTGTTTCCTGAAGCAATTTTCCGTTAAAGATCCATTTAGCACACTGGTACCACTTGCATGCAACAAGAAGAATGAATAGTTTCTGACAGACTACAGAAGTGGCAGCTGTACATGCCTCCTTTTCTTAGGGTTGCAAGTAAAAGCATTGAGAGCCTCTGTTATTATGACTACAGCAGATTTAACGACGCCAGAACCAGATTGGTGATGGATATTAAATATTACAGTCCAACTGCATCTTCATACTGTTTGCAGTGGTAGCCAGTACAAAATGCAGATGAAATTTCAGTTTTCAAAAAGTATTTTTTAATTGAAAATATATTAAAATAATATATTTTATTACTTTTGATATTAAAACGTGAAAATCATCTAAAAAATCAACTCAAAATCATCCACAAAGTGTCAAATATAACGCAAAAACAAACACTCGCTAAAATAACCGTGCAAATTTGTAAAACTCCCAGGGTTTTGCATCGCATTAAAATTGAAGTCCTGGCTGTGTTCAACAGGCTGTACAATCCATCAAAGCTTTTTAAAGAACTGTTGCCAGAAGAGGTGATGCAGGGTAAGAGATGTTGCAGGAAGTGTGCAGTGTTATCTATTATGAACCAACCACACCCTTTTTCTATTGCCAGAAGTGAAGTATAATTGATAGTTGTATCCATTATCAAACATAATTAAACACCATCAATTTAACCAGGCAATGCATCCCAAGTGTCTCCTTTGCATTAGCTAGGAAACAGCTTCGATCCACACCAGAAACAGCATCTATATTATTAGACCACAATTCACTTCGGGAAAAATAGAGCATTAATTACAACAAAAAAAAGTCCACATGGAAACTTAAAAGCATGCCAAGAGAAAAGGAAAAGGAAAAAAGAAAGGTTTTGTTTGGATGTAATAATTGTTTTTTAAGGTGTTTTTTTAAAAAATATATTAAAATAATGAAATTGTTGTAATAATTGTTTTTCAAGGTGTTTTTTTTAGAAAATATATTAAAATAATATATTTTTTTAAAAAAATATTTCTACATCAATATATCAAAACAATCTAAAAAAATTATTTTGAAATAAAAAAAAAATTCAAAATCGTTTTTTTTGTTTACTGTAAAAACACACTCTTGAAGATTCAAGAAAAACGACTGTGATCCACCAACAAATACATCAACAAATCACTTCAAGCAAAACCACAACATTAAAAAGTGTGTGTTTTCTCGTTTTGTGACCATGGCTCGTATTTTAAGTTGAAGGACACAAGGTTTTTTATCCTTGGATTCTCGATGACGTCCAAAGGCAGAACAGAAGTAGTTGCTTGCTTTTGTTGTGTACAGAATGGTGCTTTTAAGCTGAGACGACTCGGTGCCTACTGGGATTCTATTGTATACCATGCTGTATTTCGTTTCTGAGACGGAGACAAAACATTCAGTATTTGGTGCGGGTTTACGTATATTTGAGATTAATGTTGAATAGTTTTCTTCTTATTCGGAGTTCTGGTCACTTGGTTAAATTGGCTTTCGCAAACTGGTCAACTCAAAACAGCTGGGATTGCATTGAAGGTTTCAGGGCAATGGTTCATGTTGCAATTCCAATGAATCCCATGTTAGTGTTGTCTTTGCCATGGATTTCATGAGAGCTTTGCAGGCAATATAGTGCCATTTTGTAGGGAATTGTTAAGGTGTTGCAGCATCGACATGGAAACTGTAGCTAAAGGCGCTGGATACAAGCTGTAATTGGCACTAATTGCAATTTTTTTTGGAGTATTCATTCATTACTCAACCCCCGGGAACCATCCACCCCCACACTTTTTCATTACAAAATAGCAACAAAATTTTACGACATGCAGAGATAGTTAATCATAACACCAAAGCTCCAAGTTATTGTACACGTTATGTCGCTTGTGTGGCGATGAATAAACCTCAGACCACCACCGAGGAGCCTCTTCCACCCATTTGGTGGTAGTCTGACTCCATTTCAGCTGCAAAGCTAAAGAGAGGGTTGCAAGCTAGACAAACATATACGGCGAGTGATCACCAAAACTGCAAAAAACAAAACAAAATGAAAAGTATTTTTGTTCATTAACCTGAGGAAATTGGTCTAGCTCTAGCAGCATATGTTGGATCGTATAGTAGTAAGATGTAAGATAGAATCTCTAGAAGCACATCCATCCTCAAATTAATTTTTTCACCTTGCTCCTCCCAATTCTCATCCGTATGCTCTCCGCAATATGCATGCTTCCTGCCCTTTTGTCTAGACATCAAGAGGATGAAGGCTAGAGGAGTACCCAATAGCAGCGGAAACAGTGCAACACAAGTGAATCTTTGGTGAATTGAAAGTTTAAAGAACATTATGGGACTGTGAGCATCATATGCTGTGACTTCCCTTTCTTTCTTTCTAAGCTTCTAAAGGATCAAGGTTTTCAAATAGGAAAAAGTGGTGTGACTGGCCATCACGTGCTCCATGATCGGGAATCAGTCAATGGCTCAATCGGCCTGTTAACGATTGAAATTGGTGCCTTATCTTTAACTTCTAACCATGACCTTGCACGCTAACATTCTACAAAACAGAAGAGAAGACTAGGGTGAATTGCTCAGCAGCTGAATGAGAGCTTCGATTGATTTTTATGGTTCAATTACTGAACAACATGATGAACTGCACTGATGAGAATTGAGAAGTCTTAGTGCATGCATAAATTCTTCAGAGTTGGGACTGCCTGGTAGCCACAACCACATCGGAGAAACCATGTTCAGATAGTAGAAGAAATGCAAATCCACTGCAACTGAATTAGACTGCAGATTTGAGGTTATACTGCTGGAGAGCCATGAGCAGCGACCTGTTTTAGCAATAATAACAACATTTGCACAGACAGAATAAAATTGTTTTGTCGTTTATGACTAACACACTACCCATGCACCCTCATGGCATGCACTCAAATATCAATAATGTCGTGCTACCCCAGCCAAGACAGGAAAAAACGAGAAACATTCTAGGAATTTGATCAACGCCATCTGAGTGAGATATTATGATACAAAGACAAACTGATAAATTGACCATATCCCTTTTCAAAATACCTGATGCTAACAAGAAAGGTTTCTTTATTTCTGTTTTTTTAATCTGAACTCGGCAAAAAATATTAATTGGCTGTGTTACAACTTTCAGAAATGGAATAATCCAACAGGACAAGTGATAGCCTTTGAAAGAATCGAGTATTCTTGTTGACAAAAAAGTCAGGTTCCTAATGCTTTGCAAGCCAATGTATCACCAACATCATTTTAAATTGAATATTTGGAGCAAGTACATGTTTCAAGGAGCTCTGTCAAAGGGCTGTGTATCATTGTAACAGACATCCCATACAGCTTCCACGGCATCCTTTGCGGCTGCTTTTGAGCAGTATGGGTTGGCGATCATTGATTTCATAACTCTTCTTTTCACACAGTCCTGCATAAATACATTGAAAAGTTAATTATACTGTTATATATCAAACAATAACAAACCAGGATGGATAAGAAAGACATCATAAAAAGTAAAAGTGAAAATAAAATAAAATAAAATTGAGGAATGTAACTAAAGTTCTTGTTTGTTAGACACTTGAACTGCCAATGGTGCAATTCAGTTACCACGTTTTCACATTATATAGTCACCACATGTCATTGCTTTAAAGATACCGTTGTTGGCATTATACACTACCAGCGGTCCATGGAAGTATTTGAATGATGCCATGCCATGAAGCTTCCATATCAGGGAAGAAATCACTCTCCAGTTTTTATTGAGTTCTCACTTCCCATTATGTCTTGGATGGAACTTAAACTGCATTCCTATGAATCTCAAACCATTTGTTATTAGTCCTGGCTACATGGATAAGAGTTCTTTTCATTGGAAACATTCCTATTCCTAGCTCAACCAAGTGAATAACATCAGATTTCATTTCAATTATTTTAGTTGATACATATCTGCAGCATATCTATTTATGGAAGCTGATAATGTGTAAGCTCTTTGGGCACGTTATCAGTATAGCCAATTTTTTTTGGACCCAGTTTATCCTCGTCTATCAATTTGGCCAGGTTTTTCAATCAAGGGTAAAATTGTAAATCTAATAAATCCACCTATCTTCCCCTACCCTTTGGTGGAAAACACCAGCCTCTCTTTCTTCTCCTCTCCTCTCCTCCTTTTCTTGTCTCAGTCTACTTAATCTTCTCTCTATCAATTCCTATTTATACACAATGCAAAAAAGTCTTAACCATCAATTGCCCTAATTTTGTAATTGACCCATTGACAATAGCTTGATAAAGGTGATTTCAAGTTAACATAACATACCATCCTTTGAAAATAAGAGAATTATTCTTACTTTTCATTATATGTTTATACCAAAGACACAAATCATTGTCATTGAACCATGTAATCAAGACCAGTAAAACAAAGTTTTTATATAGTCAAGAGCGAGAATTTAGTTTCTGATAGTTGTCAAGTTTACGTGGATTTCTACTGTAGTACAAGTTAAATTA